CTCCCGAGCAGCTCAAGCTGGGCAAGCCGGCCGCGGCCGAGGCGCTCAAACGCGCATTCCCTGCACAGTCGAGGCAGCCGCAGCCCCGCGGGGGGAACGGCGCGGCGAAGCTGGCGAGGCGCGCCAGCGGCCGCGGAGGGGGCCCTGCGAAGCGGTCGTGCGTGGGGAAGGGGGGTGGGCAGTGGCAGTGAGGCCAGTGCGAGTGGAGTCATACACCGTACTGTTGAGAGGCGTCTCTCACGACTCGGCTCTCACATCTTGCTTCATTCAGCCTTGTGTTGCATACGTTCTTGTCCGTCCTTGGTGTTCCACTGAGCACTGTCTTCTGTCACCGTCTCGCGTCTCGGGGGTCTCCTTGTCCTTGTCCTTGACGCTTGAGCGCCAAGGTGCAAGAGGAGAAGGACACCCCTCGTGTGCCTCTCGTCTCTCGATGTCCTGTTTGTCCTTGACTCCGTGTGCATGTATGCGTCCACCTTGTCGAGCACGTCGGTGTGTTGCAGCGTGGGCGAGTGACACTCATTTCGATGCCACCCTCGTATACGTAAAACCTGCTACGGTGTAACATATGTGCGCACATTGGTTCTACAACGCCTCCCAGTCCAGCTCGCTGACATCCGTCCCCTCGACTATCGTGCGGCACACGGGACACACAGCAGCAGCAGCATCGCCCTCCACGCGCTCCCAATCCGCAACGCATGGCTGGCAGCACCAATGGCGGCAGGGATAGAGCTGAACCCACTCGGAGCAGCTGCCCCCCTCGCGATGGCAGAGGGGGCACGCCAAACGCTCCGGGTCATGCAGCCTCTCCACCACGCCCTCCGACACGAGCTCACCCACGGGCCCGACCAGCGCGTCACGCGCCGCGCGTGGCAGGCTAAAGCGACCCGCATCATCGCGAGCAATGTGCTCATCGGGCGGAAGCCCGCTCTCGTGCACGACAAACTCGCGCAGCGCCGTAAAGCCGTGTTGCCGCTCCTCGGGCCCGAGCAGCCAGCGCAGCCACGCGACCGCAATCTTCCGACGGTCCGGCGGCCACGCGTCGTACAGCTCCACAAGCCAGCGCTGCCATGTCGCCGAGTTCTCCTCCTCCATCTTGGGGTTCGTGATCTCGGCGAGAAAGTCGAGCAGCGCCGACTGGGCGTTGCGCAGGGACGCGTAGAAGGCGGCATGATAGCTGTACTCCCCCACCTGACGAAGACAGAGGGCAGACGCGGTGAAGACCGACGGCGCCTCTCGAGGTTGCAATGCATTCGTGTGGTCACGGCGCAGTTTGACTGTGGTGTATTCAAGCGTCACGCTAGCCATGCCTGGGATGTGTGTGTGCCGCATCTAGGCTCCCCGACGTACACCAGCGTGTCCTCGCCCGCCGCGGGCTCGTACTCGTACAGGTCCGCCGTTCGCAGCAGCTCGTGCCACTTGTCGATCGCCGCGACGCCCGAGCTCGCCTCCGCGAGGAGGAAGCTGAGCCGCGCCGCGCCCTCGCCTCCGGCGAGAGCCTCCCGAGCGTCGGGTATCAAACAGCCGCCGCGGGTGTCAACCACGTCCCGAGACTCCCTGTCCGACCCGCCCACAGCGTTGGAGAGGCGCCAAGGCGGCACCGCCTGCTCGTATCGCACGACGCCGTCGACGGACACGACGAGGTCGAGCAGCCACCGAAGCGTCCCGGACGCGTCGCTGCTCGGGTCCGGGTAGACGTCGCGGATGAGCGCGGGCGAGTAGAGCGGCTCGTCGGCGCAGACCGGCACCGCCGCCCGCCGCCAAACCACGAAGTTGCGGAGCACGTGGTACGGCTGGATGGTCTCCGGTAGAAGAAGTGTGAGATCAGTGTCGCGCTCTCGGAACGGATCAACCTCCTCAAACACCGTGTCGATGTCGTGCAGCAGCTCGAGGCCCGAGCGCGAGAGCAGGGCGTGCACCTCCTCCGCCGTGAGGACGCCATTGAGCAGCCGCTGCGTCCGCGCGCACTCGGGCGCGGGCCAATGACTATAGCACGCTTCGAGCCAACCGGCGTCATCGCGTTTGTCGTCACGGATGCACTCGTCGGTGTCCTCCTTCACGAAGAGGTAAGTCCCGTCCTTCAGGATCACCTGGTAGGGAGCGCCGCCCGCCTCGAGGTTGGCCGGCCAGACCTGCGTCACCCGCCCCTCCTCCCACAAGGCCGTAGGATGCGGAGGGTGTTGACGGTTGAAGCCCGGGCGCGCCGACCGGTTGCAATAAACGCGTTTGCCCGGGCGGAAGCGGAGCCGCTCGTTGAGGACTCTCTCCATGTCCGCCTTGTGCGCCTCCACATACGCCCGCACTTGAGCCCGGCTGCGCCGGCCCGCCTCCTCTGCGGCCTCCGTCGCATCCCGCACCGCCTCCCTCCACGCCTCGGCGCGCTGGTGATCTTCAGGGCGCACGGCGTCACCCTCGCCGATCACGCCCTCCGCGGCGCGCAGAGAGTACAGCGGCGGGCACCGAGCCGACGCCGCGCTCTGAGGGTCGAGCCGCGGGGCGGGCGGGCGGACAAGGCTGCTCTCGCCGGGGCGGCGCTCCTCGTCGGAGCCGCCGGGAGGCCGGAGCCGCCGAGAGGTCGCCGCTCCTTTCACCGCCGTCGCCGGCCTGGCCTCGTCGACCTCCATCGCCCCGCCCTCGTCCACCTGCATCGCCTCGCCGCCCGCCTCAGCCACGGAAGGCGCCTTGGGCGGCGCGGCAGTGGAGCGGGAAGCGGCCAACTGCGCACGTGTGGCGGTGTGTCGGTAAAGGAGGGCGGTTGGCGGTGGAGAGCAGGGGCGGGGGCGGGGAAAAAAAAAGGGGGGGGGGGAGCGCGCGTGTGGGTGGATGGGGGGGTTGGGGGGGGCGCCTGCGGTGGCGGCTCGGCATGATGGACGGCGTGCTGCTCGAGGAGGCGCACGATCGGGGTGTGGCCCGCGTCGCGAGCCAGCCGTAGCGCGCTGCAACCGTTGATGTCCTCCGCGTTGGCGTCGGCACCCTTCTTCAGCAGCGCGTCGACCGCCCGCCCCGCCCGCTCGCCGCCCACACTGGCAGCCTCCATCAGCGCGGTGCGGCCGACGCCGTTCCGATGATCGAGATTCGCGCCCGCCTCAATCAGCGCGAGGACGGTGTGCGTGCGGCCCGACCTTGCGGCATACATCAGCGCGGTGCAGCCGTCACTGCACTGATGGTCGACCGCCGCGCTGCGCAGCAACAGCGCCTCGACCGTCGCAAAGCTGCATTCGGCGGCCTCCATCAGTGCGGTGCGGCCGTCGCTGCTCTCGTGGTTGATCGCCGCGCCGTGCCCGAGCAGCGCGACGGCCGCCGGCGTCCCACGCGACAAGTTACGGGCGGCAAACACCAGCGCGGTGCAGCCGCTGCCGTTCTGCTGGTCAACCTCGGCGCGGTGCTGCACCAGCAAGTCGACCGCCCGCACGTCGCCGTTCATGGCGGCAATCATCAGCGCGGTGCGGTCACCCATCACCTTGGCCTCGGCGAGGTGGTGGACCTCTGCGCCGCGCTCCAGCAGCGCCTGGACCGTGTTGGTGTCGCGCAGTCCGGCGGCGATCGTCAGGGGATTCCATCCCGCGTCCTGCTGGTTGAGAGAGAAGGCCGAGGCGCCGCCCGCGAGCAGCGGCCCGAAGAGCTGGCCGCTCAAGGCGGCGCGCACCATCTGACCTTGAATAGCGAACTCCAAGTCCTGCTGCCGCCCCCCCGCGGGCAAGGCGCGGCAAGCCCGCTTGCCCGCCGCCGCGTCGCGCCGCTGCTGCCGTTGCGGCGCGTCCGATTGCCCCACTCCGCCCGAGCGCGGGGCCGGTCCGGGCTCGTCTTTGGCCGTCTGAAATGCGGCCGTGCTGGCAGAGCCGCTCACGCCCGCCTCGACGGCCTTGGAGGAGAGCCTGCGCTCGTCGGTCACCGCTGCCGCCGCCTCCGCCGCGGGCACTGCAGCCTCCTCCGCGGCCGCCGCGGCCGCGGGGACTGCAGCCTCCTCCGCCGCCGCCGTCCCTGCTTCCCGCGCGTAGGCGGCTGCCGCCTCGACCGCCGTATCAAAGTAGCCCAAGTCGGACGCCGTCCCGTCAGTGTTGCTCATCGCCCAGAAGCGGCCAGAGGCGTCAAGCAACACGCCCTCGGTGCTGGCGAGTAGAGGCCCCGCCCACCCAGGGTACCCTCTCCGAGGACCCATTGGGTAGGGCTCGCCGGGGCTCTGCTCCAAGAGACCTCGGGAGAGCGTGCGTGTGCCTCTACTCGCCAGTAGCCGGTGCACTCTGCTCTGCGCGAGAAAGAATTTAAAGAACAATCTCTCTCTACAGCACACAGGCTCGACACAGGTGCGAACTGGCGCGTGCTAGTACTATCACAGGCTCACCACCGGAGCCGCCTAAGCGACTCCGTTAAGAACGGCAATGCACTTAGCACCGTGCACAATGCCGCTGTCCCCGCACGCTAGCTCGTTCACCGTCTGCCACGCGAGAAAGAAAGAAAGAAAACAGACAGCCCAAGAGAGGGATGGGAGAGATACATTCTGGTGGGACAGGAATTCTTTTCAGAGTTAGGAACAAACACGGAGCGTCTCCACGTTGGAGTGTGTGAGCGCCTGCAGATTGGAGTAGATGGCGGTGGCAAAGAGCGCGATGTAGAATAAGTATATTCGCACGCGCGGCCACTCCATAGGTCGGGCCAGTCTTGCTGTTGCCGCAGCCCATGGCGTCGGTCGTTACACATCCCGGGGCGGCGGGGGGGGGGGGGGGGGTGCAGAGTGTGTGCGACTGACTGCGACAAGGGACCATCCGTTTGTATTATTAACAACGAAGGCGCTCTCAAAGAATTTCACCCCACCAGTCCCTCGCGCCCCGTTGTGTGATCTGTTATATGTCGCGCATCGAGCAGGCCGGCCTCGAGCTGGCGGACGGGCTCTACCCGATAGTTAGTCGGCTCTCTCGAGGCCAAGGCTGTTGGCCCCCTCGCCGGCAGGGTCGTCACCCTCGCCGCCACCGGAGGCACACGCGGGAGGAGCACACACGAATGCTATGAGGTATAGCACGTGCACCGGTGGGCGGTGGCAGGCTGGGGCCTCACGTGCGCGCTCCCCCTCCCCGGACCACGCAGACCCCAAAGAGATCCTGAAGACCATCGACACAGGCGAGCCGGCCAGGGCGTCAGGCTCGGCCTGATGCAGCGGTGTTCACACCGAGCCGAGCCGAGAGCGCCGAGCCCGTAGGCCTCGATGCCTTTCTGTCGGTGCCGGCGGACCGCTTCGTCGCCGCCGCCCGCGCGTTCAAAGCCGCGACGGCGGAGGCGAGCGTAAGCGACGCGCCGTGCAACCTGGTCTGCGTGCCGCCCCTCGCCACCGTCGAAGAGGTAGCGGGCCGGATGGCCAACGCACTGAGCGTCACCGACTCGACCAAGCTCAAGATTTTCGTCTACCAAGCCGTCCGCTCCATACAGTCGGGCGACCCGCAGCAGCTCAAAGCGGCCGCTGCCGAGGCGCGCCGATTCGAGGCGTCGCTCTTACAGGCCGAGAGGTGCGGCGCGTGACGCGTTCCGTCTTCGACTTGCTCGACGCGGCAGGCGCGGATCTCTCGCCGTCAGAAGTGGCGTGGGTGAACGGGTTTGTTGGGCTGACGTAGCGCTATATAATCGTAAATAACATAACGGGCCGTTGCGCGTTGGGCTGCTCGATAATGGGCTAGCCAATGCGCATTTCCAAAATAAACTTAGATCTTTTTCTTTAAAATGCATTTTGGTTTGGTGATGGGCACAAAATACACTCTAAATGCATGGGAGCACCAGGAGAAAGCCTGGCGGGGTTTGCGTTGGGCCGTTGGCGTGCCTTGAGGTACACAAACGTCAATATTCGTCGCAGTCATCGCACCGCCACCCTTGGCAGCACAAAGCCGCGCCAGATGTCCGCCAGCTCCGGAGCCGCTCCTTCGCGGCCCTCGAAGCGCTCCTCGTCCCAAGCGATCAGGTAGCCCAGCCGCATCACCTCGACCGCCCGCTTGCGAGCCGCCACCGGGAAGAGCTCGTGCGATTGCGGCGACCACTCCGCCGCCTTGAGGACCAGCCTGCCCACCTCCACCGCCTCGGCCGCTGGCTGCAGGTTGGCCGGCCTGAGGGAGGGCAGAGGTGTGTCAAAGAGAGGATCAGCGGGTCCGGGAGAGACCATTGCATTGCGCGCCTCAGTGCGAATGCCTTGGCCTCGCCCGCCACGCGCACGCCGAAGCGTCCCGTCGAAGCGTCCGCGGAGACGACGACGCCGACCTTGCCGTTCATCGAGGGCCGCGAGACGAGAGAGTGGATCGCGACAGTGGAACCGACTGCCGCAGCGGTCGGATCCGACTCGCTCCACGAGCAGAGGACGCGCGCCCGCTCGAGGGCCGAAGGCTCGCCGCGTTCAACGCCGGCTGAAAGGTCGGCGCCGCCGCGCAGCAGCGCCCGCGCCCGCTCGAAGGTGAGCGTCTGCGGAAGAGGGGCAGGGGGCGTGAGGACAGCGCGCTCACGCATTCGGCCGCTCGTCTTGGGGCACGCCTCGAGATGCTGGAGCGGCGTCCAGCCGCGGCTGGCGACCAGCCAGGCGGCAAGGTCGGCGTGGCCGCGGCGGTTTGCAATCTCCTCGGGCGTGCCGAAGGCCCGAGCTCCTCTCCTCAGGCGGGAGGCGCCGTAGGAGGAGAGGAGCTTGGCGACCTCGACGTGGCCCTCCTGGCACGCGGCGTGCAGAGGCGTGGCGCCTTCCTCATCAGCCTGGTCGATCGCTGCGCTGGCCTCGAGAAGCAGCCGAGCGATCTTGAGGTGGCCCTCCTGGCACGCCAAGGACAGCGGCGTGGCGCCGTTCACCTCGGCCTGGCTGACCGCCGCGCCAGCCTCGAGGAGCAGCCGCGCGATCTCGAGGTGTCCATGCTCGCACGCGATGGACAGCGGCGTGACGCCGTCCTCATCGGCCTGGTCGGTCGCCGCGCACGCCTCGAGAAGCAGCCGGACGCACTGGCCATGGCCCTGCAGGCACGCGATGAACAGCGCAGACCGGTCGTCACCATTCGTCGCCCCGACGCTCGCGCCGCTGTCGAGCAGTAGCCGCACCGCCTCGGCCTGCCCGTAACGAGCGGCCCAGGTGAGCAGCGTGTCTCGCGTGTCGGTGTCGTGCCGCGCGTCGAGCGTGCCGCGCGTCCGCCGACCGGAGAGGACGGCGCGCAGTGAGGCCAGGTCGCCCCGAGCCAGGTCGGCGAGCGCTGTTGGTGGGGTGAGGGCGCCGCTCATCGCACGGCCGGAGCGAGAAATTGTTTTTACCAAAAGAATTCTTACACAAGCCTCTCTCACAGCACACTGGCACGACAAGGGCGCGGACTGGCGCGGACTGGCACACACACCGGCTCACCACCGGAGCCGCCTAAGCGACTCCGTTTTACCAAAAGAATTTTACCAAAAGAACCCTGTCAGCGGTTCACCTACGGGTATGTTCGTAAGAGCTACATACACTGAAAAGGAGGGCTACACGAGGCCCTCTACTGGGGCGCCGATTGATTTTTTTTTGCAAACCCTCACGCCATGCACAACCCTCCCTCGTCCGCCTCGAGGGCCGCTGCCCTCGCGCTGCTGACGGTCTGTCGGTGCGACGAGCTGCCGCCGATCCGCGGCATGCGCGACGTCAAGCCCTCACCTCAGACACATCGGCGAGTGAGTTTGAGGTGTGCTCGCACCGCACAGCGACCAGCTGTGTGCCGGCGACCCGATCAAGAGCTCGTAGTCATGGTACTATTCAGCGCGCCACCGCGCCCGAGGCAGCCCGCCCTGGCTCTGTAGGCCTTCCCAGACAGCTTGGCGAGGCTGCACATAATGCCCAGAGCATGCTGGGCAGGCTCTGAGGGAGGGTGTAGAGGATGTAGAGTGTAGAGCGCTGTAGAGCTGTAGAGATGTAGAGCGCTCTGGAGCGCTGTAGAGCTGTAGAGCTCTACATCCGCCGCGTGACGAGGCGCCTCCGTTGTAGAGCGATGTAGAGGCGCCCTACAACGTGAAATCTCTACAACAAACTCTACATAAGCGGCGAACGAGGCACGGTCGCTCTCCGACATGAGGCGCGTTGCACTTGCCAGTGCTGCCCTGGCCTTCTGTCTGCCCGCCCAATGGGTAGGAGGTGCCTCTGCTGCTATGGCATGCCTCACGGCTGCGACTGGCCGGCGCCTCGGCGCGTCAGCTCGGCTCGGCGTAGCGATAGTGGCCAGCGCAACTCGCCTGGACTCAACGCTCAGCCAGGAGCCCCCGCACGCGCTGGCGCGAGTCATGGCGCATGCAACGCGCAGCAATGCTCGCCTCGCCTCGCGCAAATGCGACCGTCCTCGCAGCCGACAGTCCACCGCCTGCTAAAGAAGCACAGCGACGAATGCGGCACCGGCGACGTATGGCAGGCTGGTCATGACGCAGTTATAGGGTCTTGTGTGCCGTCGGAGTGACTCTGTGTGTGTCAGTGATAGTCAGGGCCGTCCATCAGAGCTCCAGTAAGCTCGGAGACACCCCATTAGCGCGGCTCGACCTCTTTGAGTCACTGCCTTCCCGGCGGTTTGGCTGTAGAGCCTCTACAACAAACTCTACAGCAAAATCGCGCTCTACATCGCTCTACAACGGAGGCGCCTCGTCCCGCGGCGGATGTAGAGCTCTACAGCTCTACAGCGCTCCAGAGCGCTCTACATCTCTACAGCTCTACAGCGCTCTACACTCTACATCCTCTACACCCTCCCTCAGGGCAGGCTTTGGCCTTTACACGCTTTTCTCTGCAACTTGGAGCACTTGGAGCACTTGGAGTGCAGTCAAAGGCTATCTATATTCTTTGCATCATATTCTCTCTGGGCCCTCTATATTCTCGAGAATATTCTCGAATATTGAGAATATTTTGACCTCGCGTAGATCGACGGAGACCAAAAGTCGCTCCAAACCCGCTCAGAACCTCCAAAACTTAAAGATTTCAGTCGGCATCGACCCGAAACCTACTGTTGAGGGGGGAATAGCTGTTTCGAGCTCTCTCGTCAAGACCGTTTTAGACGCCGCACAGCGGCAACGTCAAGAATATTCAAGAATATCTTTGGACTCGAGGTCTACTAAGGTCAAGGGCTGCGGAAAGCTCGTATATTCTTGAGGGAAAAGCCGGCCGGGGCATCTGTATTCTCGAGAATATTCTCGAATATGGAAGTGCGCGGGACCCTCTATATTCTCAAATATATTCGAGAATATGGTGTAAAGGCCAAGGCAGGCTCCCGTCGAGCGACGAGCCATGCTGGCTCCTCGCGGGCGGCGAGCTCAAAGACCCGCTCGGAGCTTCGCCCAGCCCCGCCCGGCGAGCCCGCCCGCACGCCCGCGGCCGCAGACATGGAAGACCAGCTTCTTGGCGTTTCCTGCCAGCGCTCACATGCCAAAAGACACCTCGCAGCGCGCGTGACGTGACCGAAGCGGCACGCCTCGGCGCCGCGAGAGCAGCCGGTCAGGGGCGCCGCGGCAGTAGAGAGCACTCCACCCGCCTTGGAGCACTTGCATACCGTTTTTTCTGGCCCGCACAGACCCCTTCTGGACGAAGGACCTGCTGCCTCGGGCGCGGGGCAGGTGCCAAACGCGCTCCAAACACATGTTTGACGGCGACGACGTCGACTCGCTCTTTGCTGGCTCCATTGGCGCCGAGGCCGCCGCCGCGTCCGCCAAAACAGCATTGCCGAACGGCGGCAGCGCCGCCGCCGCCACCTCCGCCGCCCCCGCCGCCCCCGCGTCCGCCCCGGCCCCCGCCTCCGCCGCGCCGCCGCCGGCGACCGAGGTGGAGCTGCGCCTGCCACCTGCGCTGCAGGCCGAGCGCCTGGCGAGCATAGCGTGGGGCGCTGCGGACGCGTCCGACCGGCGCGCGCTCGAGAAGATATTGCGGAGCATGGTGGCGAGGCGCGCAGAGGCAGGCGCCGCCGGGGCGGAGGAGGTGGGCCCGCCGCCGCCCGTCCACTACTGCCAGGCGTACTGCATCGACGCCGCCGGCGCCGAGTCGGCGGCCGCCGCCTCCGCCTCTGAGTGGCCTAGCTACACGCTGCTGATGCAGACGCCGCTGCCGCTGCCTCCGCCGCTCAGCGCGACGGCGTGCTACAACTGCCGCGCCGAGGGCCACCTCGCGCGCGACTGCCCGCTGCCTCGCAACCCGGCCGCGGCGCCGCCTCCGCAGCGGCCCGCGGGCCAGCGCCGCCCTCCCGCCTTCCAAGGCCGATACTTTGACAAGCCGACGGCGGCGGGCCGGCCGGGAGCGCTCTCGGCCG